TGTTTATTATATAGAAAATGACAGATTTCTCATAGAAATCAGCATTTTTTAAACTGTTGTTATACTGGGAAACCCCTCACCCATAAAGCACTTCTGCAAGCTTTAATGTATTTCCATTACCCTTGTCTCCTCCTCAGACCATCATCACGTTTTCAGTGTTTGTTAAACTCGCTGTAAAAGACACCTCTCTAACATAACCCTACTTGGGGAGCACAGACTTAATTCAAATAACAGGTGAAAGCTCCCTAACATTTTATGATGGCTCTGTGTAGAAAAAACATATTTGTTCTCTTCATTCTCAGATTGTCTGCCCAATAGATCATTCTGGCTGTTTCTCTCCTCTCTCTGTTCTGCTCCTGTCACACCGTGCCTGCCCCTCCTCCTTACTTCCCCTTGCAGACATTGCTTTCTCTGATGCCGATTTTAAGCAGGGGAGATGACAGGTTCTCTTTAAACCAAACTAACTATACTATGCCATTACACTTTAGCTATTATAGGTTTCTGTATGTTAATTACAAAATGTAGACTCTGTACTAAACTAGATGTGTGACTTCTGATCTACTTAGAGATGTACTACCCAACATACACAGTATAATAAGGTATTATGCTCACAGAAATGGTTATTGGCGCCTCTCAAAACATGGGCATATCAGAGCAGTGTGATCAACTGCTCTGCATGTGATGCTAAACTGTAACAAGGTTGCTCCCTGCAACAATATATGTGTTTTTAGGTGTTAAACCTCTTTGTTAGACAGAAGTAAAAAAACTGAGTATAGATTTTATCAATATATATTGTAGTGATATCAGAGAAACATTGTGTTACTCACTTTCTGGAATGTTTATTATCATGCAGAGATTTATATTTATTAGTCATTGAACTATCCATGCTGTATTACCTCACTATATATAATCAAGGACATTGAAAAATGTGCGAAATTGATCAAATGAATCTTTCCTGTACCCCATGTCTGCTATTTTCATTAAGAAGAAACATTACTGTGGTGAAAGCCACTTCGCCACTGGGGTTTGGAGGGGACTACTTGCCAGCCTTTTACCCTGTGACTATGGCCCCGTTAATTTATTATGGTTAAAAAACCCTATTTGTGCCTATTTGGACTTTGGACAGTAATTCTTTGAACTTCGAGCCATAGAACAGCTGGACAACACGCAAGTGGAGTGTGCAGCCTATTTACCTCCCAGACTGGTAGTTAACCGCAGCCAAATTGAAGAATGGTTGGGTGGTTGCCGTTTGCATAGTCAAACACGTGGTGGTGGCCATCGAGTTTGTTGTCAAGTTCATGGAACTCAAAACAGACACGCGATGGCACGAACACCGCTGAAAAGTTAACTTTGGCTATTCAAATGGGATTCGAACGATGTTCAGTGGGCAGAAACCCACGAACAAGGGACATATACTGACTACATGCACGAACGCCTGCGTTTGGTAATTCGAATGGTATTTCGATTATTTGTAATAGACTTGTCTCTTCCTTCTGGTCATTGATGCAAGTAAAACAGTGGATGTAGGTGTAACGGTTTACCTTAGTTGGGAGTCCAGTAGACAGAGATATATGCTCACCCTTGCAATTAAACACAGGCCAAGGTGGTCAGGTAAGAATTCACCTGGCCTGTGAGTCTGTGCATGAGGTCTGTGCAGGACATTGCTCCAAATCACAATACAGGTAAGGACACAAGCAGGA